TCGTTTTCCGTGCTCATAGGCTTGCGCGAGCGAGCGAGCGAACGCGTCGTACTTCATAATTTAAACCCTTTTCTAGTTACTCAACCACCACCACCCCCTGTGCTATGCTCCGACTGACTAGCTATAAGCTTTGTCTATGTGCCATATAGCTTTACAACGGTGAACTCGAGGCTTCGAATCTATTGCACGCGTAAACGCGCGTAATAATAATATGTCGCGATCGCCGAGTCGAATTTCTACCCGCAGTACGTACACCCGCAAGTTTTTTTGTTGTTGTCGTCGTCGTCGCCGCTGTTGTTGGCCTCTATCTCTGGTTGGGCCCCGTGTGTGTAAAAATGGATTCAGTGTATACGTATAAGCTTGATCATTAAGAAGCATAGAGAACAGGCGTTTGCATGTAGTTAAGCTGTGCCGCAGCAGCGGCACGCGCTCATGTCTGCACGCTGCGTATGGTGGACGCTGACGCCAAGTCGCCAACCAAGTGCCGCTGCCGCCGATGGTTGGGTTGCGCTGCTGCTGCTGCTGCCGCTGCTGCCCTTATCTCGAGGGCACAATCAGCATTGTCTTTTAACTCTCGGTGCGATATCAGACGCGGGCGCGAGCGAGGAGGCGAGAATATCTTCTCTTCTCTGCTGCGAGGAAAACGAGTGTGTATATATATTAAGCACAGATCCACGCGGAGAAACAATTTAGTTCAATCAACATTTCTAGGCTGTGTGTGTGTGTGTGTGTGTGTGTGTCGCGCTGGCGTCTAATTAAAGCTCGGGCTAGTAGCTTATATAGCCTTCTTCCTCTACCGCCTTAGCTCCATCTGGACATAAACTCAGATTATCTTGCTCTTTGTATCTTTGTCGTCTCGTACATTGACTTAATCCAACTATACTGTATATGCATTTAGAGCTCCCCTCGCTGCTGCTGCTGCTGCATGCCTATACACCATACATTTTATACGTATATATATATGCGCGATCGCTATTAACATTAAACGGGTCTCAGGTATATATACCCCCGAATCGTTGTCGACGAAAAGAATGACGTTCGGGGAGCTATTGTAATGGTACTGCTGCTTTTCCGATGAAAATTCCGAAAAATTTCCGCAATTATATTATGACGAACTATATAAAAGCGAGATTCATGATTTTTAGATAAGCTTGTAATAAGCCAAATGCGATATAAAAAAGAGAAGAGAGAGAGAAGAAACATAATCATAAGAGAAGTAAGTAGGAACGAGGAATCCAGAGAAACTCGGGGGCGCGTCTCATTTCCAGTCAGTGCAGGGGGTCCCGCAGGGAATACGTAATTAGCCATATAGTTTGTCTCGCTCGTCTGTGTGAGCAAGTAGCAGCGCGCGCGGAGTTGCTTAAAACGTCTCGAGGCCGCTAGCTTCTGGCTGCTGCCGCTGCTCAGGAATTCGCAAAATTTCAAGGCAATGAGGCTCGTTGACGGATAACATTATCGCGTACACGTCACGGAGTAAGCGGCGCAATGGAAATGACAAGCGCAGAGGCGAATTGAGAGACTCTAATCTCCCGTCATCGATCCAGTTCGTATTTAAGCTCTCTCCAAAACTTGAATTAATACCGAAGCAGTGTGTACGTGCTTCAGATGGCATAATTGCCACCAAAGATCAATCGACAATCGTCGTCATTACACCCAAAGATTCTCGATTTCAAAACAGTTGTTACACAAATTTATGCATCCAAGAGTCCGTTCTAGAGTATCGAGAAATTTCGAGCGGTCGTAAATAATTCGTTCGGGAAAAGCCAATTGCAAACCTTGCCGAAGCTCATATCGTTCAAGAATTATGCGTCGATTCGAAACATCTTATTTCATTGGTTTTCGCATCCTTAAGGGCGAGACTGGAATTCTCGGAATTTACTGATTGAATATCCGAGACTTGCGCGCAACTGTTTCAGCTCTTTATACCTTCTTGCTGCTCTCTCTCTCTTTCTCTCTTGGACCTAGTGTCGATCTGTACTCGTCACTACTACTACTACTAGTCGACTCACTTCAAATACTCCGCAGCTTTCAGGCTCTGTGCTTTTTTTCCCCGCGGGCGTCGAGAGCGAGTGAGAGAGAGTTTGATAAATGTTCAGGCGTGCGATATGGCGCCTGGTGATATTTGTAAGGATGTGTATACGTCTCGAGGGACTTGTATCTATACTACGTGCGGAACTAACAACACCGACAATCCCAATATACACAAAACGTATATAAGATACAATAGCGAGGCAATAAAGAAATATCATTCCCATTGGCTTCTAATTTGATTTCACCGTCTGTTTGTTAGATTCGCGAGAAATGAGATCAAAAGCGAGGCATATTAGTCGGCTATATCGAGGGTAGCTACTGCTGAAATTGCTTCATACGTTTTATATTGTATCTTCATTTTGCAACACGTCATTCTATTATTTCGATGTTTCGTTTGCTTACGAAAAAAATAATATTTTTTGAAATATTTGGTGTCATTTTTTGACATTTATTTATTCAAGGAGTATTTTACAAGCCAAAGACAAAAGTTTTATGAGTCACGCTTTTTTTACGATACGTTTTCTCACGACAACTCGTTAGATTTATGCAATTTGATGCGTAGCTAAGGAAAAATCTTGTTTTTATTCTCCAATGGCACGAGCTTAGCTTCGCAGGTAGCATGCTGACGCCCGAGCTCTCGTCAAAACTTATTTTTCTCGCCTTAAAAGTGTAAAGTGTTGAATAAAATTGTAAATATAAAGAAAAGTCGATACGTAGAGCTGCATAACACACGCCTCGCAGTATTTACAATGGAGGACGAGTTTCACACTCGTTAAAGTAATTTCGGTTCAGGTAACAAAAGGAGTTTGCGCCGTGTCTGAAGCTACCGAGCCTCATTATCCATTAGAAAGTATCCTTTCGAAGGAAATTATTTTTCTCCCTGCGTAAGGAAACTTTGATGTTGATACGGCAAGAAAATGTTATCATAGCAGTAAAACAAATAATTAGTTTTACGTTACTTAAAATAGCTTCTCTTTTTTCCAATTATAATCACTCGTGGAAGCTTTGAATTTGATATTCAGACGCCTCGTTCTTATTAGGATGTACCTCTAATTGTGTAAGCTTCTGTAGAGATACTTTTCATTGCATCAGGCTAGTATGTTAAAAGACGTATGTGATATTGGTCAAGCTCGAAGCAAAATTTTGAACTTCGAAATTTTAGATGCCGATGGGATTTAATTCAGCACCTACAAGTTTCAAATTATAAATGCTTACCTAGCAAAATTTCTATCCCAACTAATTCGGGGACCATCAATCAATTATAAATTCAATAACTGATCTTTGCACATAGCTCAATGAGTACTTCAAGTTTTTTGTCGTTGTAACGCAGACGAATCGATTAAGGAATATCATTTTTTTGACGCTCGACACCGAGGCCATAACTGATATATTACGCTGGGCTCCGGTGCAAAAAGTCGGAAGAACGAGCGAGCTTTTAAATGAAAATACAGTTACAGAAAGGGCAGTAAGTGTAAGCACGGAGAGGATGCCGCGAACCGCGACGAAAGTACGCAAAACGAATATAAGCGTCGACGGGCTTCTACCCTCCCCATCAGCACATAAAACCAAGACCACGTAACTTATAGCTCTCTCTCTCTCTCTTCTACAGTTTTCTCTCTCTCTCTTTCTTCCGTAGACTCAATGAGTATATTTCTCCAGGCTCTTTGAAAGCATTTTCTCATTAAAAAATTAAGGAACGATGGCGACGCGAAGAAGAAGCGGCCCCGGAGTCTTGATGCGATACTCTCTTTCTCTCTCTCTATCTCTCTCTCTCGGTGGCAAACGCACGTCGCGATGAACGAGCCTCGGTAAGTGCTCTCGCAGATGCGCCCAATATTATGTTTAATGATATTAACTTCTTACTTAATGGGCCGCGGTTCGATTCCAAGCGAGGTGCGAAATCGTTCCTCCGCGCCGCACCGTACCACCACTGCCGCTGCCGCCTACGCGCTCGGATATACCCGAAGAAAAGAATACCCTCGAGTGTAATTTCAACGGGGGTTATATACAGCCGCTGAAAAAAGATGAAGCAGAGCGAGTGAGCGAGAGAAAAAGAAAAAGTTGATGATGCGTGTAAGCGTGCAGAAAAGAAGACGCTGCTGCTGCGGTGCTGCGGTAAAAAACGTTCGTAATAGCTATTTCCAAGCTCGAGTGCTGCAGCGGCAAAAGATTTTTTTTCATTTATCAACTCCATTAATCATCGAGCTTTGAAAATAATTGAAAATATTTGGCGAGCGGCGTCGTTTTCTTCTAATGACGTAATTTCTTCCGTTTTATCGAACATTAACGCTTTGACATAGATATTTCTTTATACTCATTCGATGAAAAAAATTATAATCCATCGATGGCAGTGGTTAAATCATAATTAGCACGAGAACCGACGCTCATTTGTCCGATGCTCGGCTTATTTTTTCATTTGATCTATTGAATAAATCAATCCTTACAGGGCAGCGCGCAGCCTTGTATACAGTCCAGCACGAACCGCTGCTATATTTTTTTTTTCTTGCGAGGCGTTTGCCAGCGATCGAATGATATTCCTCCACTGGTAGGTCCATAATTACGCTCCCAGCATCAGCCAAGCCAAGCCCTCTCTCACCAAGAGAGAGACACGACGCGGCACGTGGGAGCCGTGAGCATACATACGCGTCAACGAAACCTATGAATAATCAATAGCCTTAGCATATCAGCGGAGAAAATTATTGTCTGGAAAATTGCTTTCGATATACGTAAATGTGTAATAGGGAAGCGCGCGGATGCGACTCGACGTTTTACGCTCGGGCATATTCACGCCTTGAAAACGTCTAACATCTATCATAAACGTCAGGAAGAGCTCTGTGAATTATTCGCTCACTCTCTCTTTCTCATCGTTAATTCATCTATTTTGTATTCTATTTGACAAAATTTACCAGTAATAATTTATGGAACTCAAATTGTTAATCCTAATGTACTTTTTTTCTTACTTGTTGCAGATTACGAGACGAGCGCGGCGAATCAGAGAGAGCATTGGCACTCGATCACAAGCAGCGGGACCACAGTTCGCATAATGGTAAAATATTTCATCTTAATTCCTATTTTCAAAGGCAGGCAGAGCAATATCATCTTTCCTCGTTGTAAAAACAGAAATTTATGCTAGCATCGCCACTAGTTTTGTCAGTATGCTCTCGAGTAATCGCATTTGGCCCCAAAAAGTTTTAATCTCGATTCGTTAAAAGCCTTTCGGTCGCGACGCGCAATTTTCTCTACCACCACCACTACTACTACTACTACTACTACCCACTACCCGCAGGCCAATTTTCCACGTGTCTCTGCAACTTTTTCAACGCATAAACTTCTCTCAAACGCGATTGACTCATGCGTGAAATCGGAGAACTGGCTCGACTGAATTTTCCATGCACGTGTATGTGTTGGTGTGTGTGCTTGTTCAAACGGAATTCATCCACGTCAAGATTAAAACGTTTGAATACCAAAAAGCCCACACAGTGCGGTCGAGCCCTGTACGCGCGCGAGCACAGACTGATAGAAAGATAAATCGACGCGAGCGAAAATTAGTGGCATTCAAAACCGCTGTAGGATGTGTTTTTACCATTGTATTGCCGCCCATTAACTTGTCAGTTTTATTTAATTTGATACAAAAACGTATTCCAACACGTACTCGTTTAATGGCGAAAATTACGTATATACGCGTCGTGAAGATAACGCACAAAAATAAAGGCAACCGTCGTCATAAAATTTTCTTAAATGCCCCGTATAAGAAAATGGATGCGTCCTAAGCGAGGAGCCGCACAGCTACATAATACAGACGGGCGCTTGCGTATTCAAAACGGATGAGATTTAGACTCGGGGAATACTGCTACGGCCGCCGACAAAGTTGCTCGTGCCTTGGAATATAGCTTCTCCTCCGGCCGGGGTATATATAAGGGAGCAGCAGCACATTCGCGCGCGCATACACTACGTATACTTCGTGGTCAAATGAGATCCATCATCATGTCATCCGGAAAAGGAACGAAATCCACTGCGCGCCTCACGCGCGCGTAGACGTTACGGCTCTGGCTCTCTCTCTTACTTATACTTACTTATCTCGTGAGTTTCAACGATTTTTCAGCGGTTTTGCAAGCCCCTACGCTTGTCTTTCTATTATTCGCTTATATATAAACGCGCAGAGTAGTAGCAGTAGTAGTAGCGACGAAAGAGATCGATGCGCAGCATGACGTTGCTCAACTACACAGAGCGAGAGAGAGAGATACACGCGTGATGTATGATCGCTTAATTCGTTTACGTCGCGTTTATATCGCGCGAGTTAAAGCAGCTGAAAAATAAGTTTTTTGGCTCCTGTGCATCTATGTTGTGTCTGAAAAAACTTTCTTGCAGTTTCACAACTCTCAACTTTTTCTTTGTTTGTTTTCATGCATAGGTTCCTCAAATGGTCACAGTCCGGTTTTGAATCTGTCGAAGACGGCTGGCAGCGGCAGCGTCGGCGAGCACTCCGGAAGCGAGGACGGCGCGTCGCATCGCTCGCACGTCGAGGAGGAGGAGGAGGACAACCTATCGGAAGATCTCGAGGATGAGATTGAGAAAGACGAAGGTAGGTGCTATACACGCATGTGTTTTTGTAGGAGATACAAATTGAACTTCCTTACATTTTATTATCATTGACTCCATTTGTTCCTTTTCGACGACTCCCCGAAACCGTTTGCGAGATATATATGAGCGATCTATCGTGAGTAAGTGCAATTACTGCTATCGAAAACAAATTATTCATTAAGATGAGACTTCTCGTCGATTTATCAAAGGCAATCGTTCAAGCAGCTCGCAAATGTTTGCTACAAACCTATACCGACAAATGTTGCGTTATACGAGTAATTTGAGCAGCTCGCTCTATTCGAAACGCGAAGATCAATCACAGAATCTTTCGCACGCTTGACAACCAACCCCCCTCGGTAAAAAATTACATACGATTAAGAATTTCGTACGACTCGCTTGCATAATTAATTCTTATAACGCCGATAAAGCTCAGCTCGTCGCGCTATTCGATTCTCTTACTATGGCCCTGGCGCGCACATACACGAATCGACCTTTTCGCGAAAGGAAAGTTAATAAGCGTAGAAATGATGATTGGTAATTTCTCGTTTTCGCTGTTGCTGCTGCTCTGTACTCGTGCAAAGAAAAATAATTATATCGCCCAATGGGTTCCCCTCTTTTCTGCTCGTGCTGATGCCTCGTATTATTATACATATTGCGCGCGTTCGTATATAAGGGCGTTTGTGCTGCAACCGTGACCTGATGCGCTCATCGATCATCTTTGTGTCTTGGCCGGCGCGCGCTTAGCAGCATATAGCGCGCGTAAAACCTCGCCAATTGGCCTCATAGAATTTCTTCCCTAAGTTTTAAAACGTGAATATTATTCGATAATAAACTCATCAATATCCCCCCGTCCTGGCGTAAAAATTAAAACTATATTTTCACTTTGTCGCACGAATCAAACGAATATATCGTGCGCGCGGTCGATTTTCTTCGGATTTTTAAACCGGTATTCCGTTGTTCGCTTGAACATTGCACGTTCAACGAGGTTACGAGGAAAAAAAATCGATAACGTTGGAGAGGCGCTTGTAACAATGCAGAAGTGCAGACTGTCGAGTTTGACGCTGATTGCTATTCTTTCATTTCGTCGCTTTTTTACTGCGTTTGACTTTACTAACGAATGAAAATAAAGCGCGCAGTGATCGAATGGGAGAAATGCTCAATATTATTAATGGTATATTACAATTATATTATAAAGCATTAGACACATTTTCAACGAACTGAAGATAATAATTGAAATGTTAAAAAAATTTAGACCAGTTTTCAACTACTTTGAATACGATGATACCACTTTGAGTCTTTACAGCTAGATGGCGAGTACCCGAATTCTGCAAGTCTGCAAGTGACAAAGTCATTTTAATTGTATAAGTTGAAGCAAAGGATGATAATAATCATTATTATAATAAAAAAAAACTTTTTACATTGTTACTATTATTACAAAAATGTCTCGAGTCACGTGAATCGTGCGTTTTGACTCTCGGTAATTTATCCCATTGAATAAAGGGACCACCAGAAAGTCGCGAAAATCTACGCGTTTCAGTAGTTGGCAAATGATTACGCAGTTTATACGCTCTCGCTCACGTACACACACGATACCTGCGCGCAGTACGGGCGTAAAAGTCTTCGGGTAATATTCATACGTTGTGTGTTGTGGTGTGTGCATCCGTGGGAGTCTACACGTTTGTGGAATGCCGTTCTGATTTAATGAGAGGATTGTGGCTTATAGTCGTAGTGTACACACACACGAGCTTTGGCTCTTGTTGCCCATTTCTGTTGTATAGTTTTCGCGAGCCGAGTCGATTTGCTCTCGATCCGAGGTGTATTAGTAGTGTAAGAAGAAAAAGAAACAGCGAGAGAAAGAGAGCGAGAGAAAGGGAAAGAGAGACAAAACGAAATTTACGCGAGTCCGAAGCCGGAGCGAACGAACGAAAGAAGGAATGGATGAAGAAGTAGGTATACAGAAGAGAGGAGAGATAAGGGCTGCAAGAAAGGCCGCATAAACTTCGCGGCGCGTCGATTCGCTGACGCGTTTCTCCGTTTCGATTCAAAATCCGAACGCACACGCATTACTCGCGGGCTGTATGCTACGACTCGGCAGAGATTGGCGGGATTTAATGCCGATTGATACCGCACCGTCTGGCTGGTTATGAGCATTTGCATCGTGGCTCGCTCGTGGGCTGCACACACACGCATAAGTATACCATCTTCCAATGTGCAAGCCTGCCCCTCGCGCACTGCACTGGAGCCCCATTAATTGTACGCGCTCAAAACATTATGCATAATATCGTAATTCAACGTGTCGCTGACCCGCGAGGCATATATTTCAATTCGTGCGTGTATAATACGTGAAATCGCGGAATATGCGCGGTCTCGACCCAGTGCTCGGCGCGGTGCGGACCTCCAGGGTGAACGTGCGTTGGATTTGCCGCGCGCGAATCGTATCTATACACACATATAAGTGTTTGCGTGTGTGTTGTGTGCAAACGCGTCTCGCGTCTCGTATAATCGTTGGCTCTCGGCCTCGGCGCTGCGAGATCGCGTCGGCCCACCGTGTCTCTCTTCTTTCTTTCTCTTTCTCTCTTCTCTCTGCTCTTATACGTACTTACTTTCGTCTTTGCTTTACGGCCGTTGATAGGATGCTTTACTGTATCGACTTTTAATTATCAGTTCTGAGCGAGCTCTGCACTGCACCTACAAAACGAGAGAGAGAGAGAGAGAGAGACGGACGGACGTATAGAGAGCCTAACTTATGGCGAGCTCCGCGCGGCTGGCTCAAGCGCACGACGATAACAACTATCACCAATTCCATTACAATTATCGCTGACAATAAAGATCGACGACACACATACAGACACACGGACGAACACATCGGGTTTTTTTGTATATACGCGCGCCGCAAAGTGTATGCACACGAGTCGAATCGATGGATCGAGTCGCATCTCGACCACCGCCAACGGAGCGCGTATTATTTATGTTATATGGACAATTTCTCGGGACGGAGGAAAGTCGTACGTTTTTGGGCGATGGCCGTGACCCCCGCGCTCGCGTTTCCCACTTTGATCGCCGATGTGACACATACCGCACAAAATGATTATACACGCCAACGTGCCGTTTCTTTTATCGGCCTGAGCTTTTTGTATCACTTCGAGAATGCATGTGTCTTGGTCACAGATATATTCTGTACAGTGATGGTAAAATTCAAATTTCACCTGCAGTCTCCTGTCCTTCCCTTATAATAGTTCAACGTATCTCTCGTACAAATAATTGTAGTTTATCTTTATAGTATTTTATATTTTTTGAATCGTGTGCATTGCAGATTTGTCGGACGTGCCGGAGAACCTGCCTCTGGCGGCGCCCGGCTCAGAGAGTCCGCAGGCGCTGAACTACTCGCAGATCGCCTCTGCGGCGGCGGCCGTGTCGGCGCAGGGCAACGCCAGCCAGGACCCCACGGCCGCGGCGTCGAGCACCGAGACGCTGCTGCGCAACATACAGGGCCTGCTGAAGGTCGCTGCGGACAACGCCCGCCAGCAGGAGAAGCAAATCAACTACGAGAAAGGTCAGTGGCAGGGCTTTCTTAAGACACTTGAGGGCGCTCTCCACAATTTCATTATCTACCAGTTCTCGCAGAATCACATTAGGAGGCACTAGATACTCATTTTTTTTAGATGATATATATACATATATATATATGAATTAGCTAATTTTTAACGTCGTATGGTTTTTTTAGTATTAATAATAAATAATCGTCTTTAACAACGCCGTTACTTGACCTTATCGTACTATGAGGATATATGGAATATATATTACATTAACGCACACGATACGAACGACTCTCTGTTACATAGATTGGCCCACGAGCAAAATAAAACTCTCTGGGCCTAACGTTTTGACAGAGAATCAGTCAAAAACGAACGTATATAAAAAAATATATATAAGGACATATCGCGCCCCGCTGCTGCTGCCGTTGTTGTTGACTCGCTGCTTTACTCATCAAAACACACACAGGTTTTTTCAATGCTCGACGTACACATATGCGATATCGATTTGCGTTTTATTAATCAATTGATTTTATGTACGACATCCCGCCGTCATATAGTTTATACATGTACATTCATCAACTTTTTCCCCTACATGCGAACTCCTTCGCCGTTATTTGTATCGCAGCGCTCATTGTGATCTATTTAGGTGTAGAATTACTACTTTATGCACTTTAGTTTTTAATGAAAATAATTTTAACATCTTCTTGATGAATTTATCATTCTAACTTGTAAAAAATTCATTATTCATGCGTCTATACATTACCCAATATAAATTTAACCTGGGTTAGAATGGATTTTTAATATATACGTACCGAAAGAGAACCGTCTAAAAAGAAAAACAATTAATTATAATCGACACTGTGTAAAATACTTCAATTATTATGTCAACTGTAAGTAGGACAATAAATTAATAATTTACAATATAATGCATTATCAACTAATTCTATTTAATGTGATAATAAAATTAACGTTGAAATCAATGGATTGTAGCAAATCATGTTAAACATATTCGTTACTTACATCATTTACGTGCATAATTGAATAGTAGGAAGGATGAGTTAATGTGTACTTTTATTATTTAAGTACTTTCAAATGTTGAAAAAAAAAGTTTTTTCTTATTCCAAAGTGACTTTTAAATTGCTTAATAATTTAGGTAATTTTAAAATTAGATTATCGTTTTTAAGGCTCGACTGATTGCAAAGACTCTTAACAAAAATTGTTGTATCATAGACATAAAGAATGATCAGTACTTTAAGTATTTCACGAAAAATTTTAAATTTAAAGATGCATAGAATACATTTTAAGTTTCAAATTTAAAATAAAGCTGAATTCGCCATTGTAGTCATTAGTTACTAATAATATTTGTTACAGTTAATTAAGATACTAATACATTGATAACAATTCGAATCGTATTACGTTTGGCATGACAAAAAGTGTGTATGGAACTTTTACGTAGTATTATATCATAGGTACTCTATATATTCAACGAATGATAAAAAAAGATTGATAAATAAAAATACATTGCAAAGCACAAATTGGTGGTTTCATGCTCGAGCAATCGTAGAAACGAAAGAAATAACTTGACACTTGCTATTTGTTAATAAAACTAACATAGTTGTGCTTATGACGTCTACCATTGCTCGGCCACGAATAATTGTTTTTTATAAATTTTTGCTTCCAAAATCACATTGTTTTAATCCGAAATTTAACTTTTGAATATTTTGCTGACAAAAACTTAAATGCGTTTGAGAATTTGTGGAAAGGTAAGCTATGAAAATTATTTTGAAATAATTGAAAGTAATTAAAGAAACTTTTAACTGTACATTTTGATAAACCTGTTGCAAATTGTTTGATGTCTTAGAAGCTGAAACTTTTCACGATCCTCTCATCTTGTTCAGTATCTAAAAATTCCATTTTTCCTCAAAATTAAATAATATGTAGAATTTCATGTTCGCTAATTTATTGAAATTTTTATTAAAAATTGATAATTAAAAGAACAATTATTTGTGCAAATTATCACGGGCAAAACAATAACTTTAGCTTCAAAAATTATCCCAATAATAAGACTAAAAAGTTGCATCACACGAGTTGTGCGAATACTTGCATAATAATTCTAATATCGATCTGGGGCTTTTCAAGTAGATTTTGATTCTCTGTAACCAGGGGTACCCTTTCACTTTGACAAATATACTAATACCATAACTTTCATAAATATAATCTCGCAAATTTCTTCAACAAAAATTACATTTTGGCACACAAAAACATGTAGATAACAACATGTAGATAGATGTGGACAATATTGAAATATCTTCGGTGTATACATGTTAAAAAAGTATCATATATGAGACCGGAGAAGCGACGAGGCAGACATCATAGTCGAAGAGGGAAAAATGTGTCTACTAGACTCCGCGCGACCTTGACTTTGGCTATTCATGCAAGAATCTCCTTAATATACATGAATGAACTTGCAGCTCGATTTACACCGGATACTTTTGCATTTGCTATACAGATCAACTGTCTGCACTAAGTACGTCTGTGCTATCGTGTTACCTCGCACAATCTCGCCAGCAAATTTCTTCCTTATTCTATTTACGCAAAATCTCCTACATCGAATTGTGTTGTCTGTTCGTCTTCGTGTGTAGTATCGAGTATGTAGAATGAAATTCTTGAAAAACAGGCATACACCACGCCTTTAATATTACTCCAGCTAGCCAGATCCAGTTTAATTTACGTGTGTGCTGTGAGTGCTTAAGCTTATACAATTATTTTTATTTTACAACTTGCAAATTTACAGATTAAGGTACTCGCCATCTAGTGGCGAAGTCTTAAAGTAGTATCATTGTATTTGAAGTTCTTGAAAATTGGCCTAACTTTTTGGAAACAGTTGAATTTTTATTTCCAGATAATTTAGAATGCGCTCAGGATGTAAATTGACAGAAAATTAATAAAAAAACATTTGACTCGTTAAGTATGTGATAATAATTTATTCAAAAGGTCGTGCCTCAGTGTTTAGTACCAATTTCTAAATTCAAAAAATACAGTTGAATGCTTGAAATGCAAAGATTCAATCCTCCAAGATTGACCGAGGTCTTAATAAGTTATCGAGTCATGATACATTTTTACCATATTCTTGTCTTTACCATAACCAACGGCCCATCTATACAAACGCGCGAGCGCTTACAATGACTTGGTCCTTTTTAATCGAGCGAAATAACGCAGAGGCAGAGAATCTCTCTCGTTAAAAGAAAGAGAAAAATAAAGACATTGCAAATCGAGTATGGCGCAGTTGAAAGATTAAAGGCAACAATGATGATGATAAAAAAAGGACGAAAGAAAAGAAAAATCCGTATAGTTGGGCTCCGTGGCCAGGAGAGAGTCAAGTGAGTTAATTTACATTAACACAACGCATATACAGAAGCCGCTTTAAGCTTGCAATCTCAATCTTTTGCTGCTGCAGTCGCGATGGTGCAGCCCCTTCCACAGAGAGAGAGAATAAGCAGCAGGAGAGAGACGATATGAGTACACACAGCAGAAGAAAAAGGAGAGAAGAGAGGGCCACGAGAGGAGGTGGACACTATCTGCGATTATTCGTGGCGATAAGTCGGAGTTGGCGCGCGCCGCGCGCACAGCAACGTATTGTATAAACAGTTCGCTCTCTCTCTCTCTCTCTCTCTCTCTCTCTCTCTCTCTCTCTCTCTCTCTCTCTCAACTGTGTGCTATATACGATCATCGGCAAAAATACCAGGGGATTGAGTTGTAGGCTGGTTGCTGCTTGCAAAACGCGCGCGCGCCGCGAGTGGAGGATCTTATGTAGATTTCTTGTAGATCGTGCACCCGATTCGATCGCGATCGGCTGCTACTTCGTCAGTAACCCTGCCTCATTAAAATCCCTCGCAAGAAAGAGAGGGCTTCTTCACAGCTCTTATCCTCCCCCTTTCCAGGTTCTTTTCCAACCTTCGCGCAGCATCTCTATATAATAATGTGTGCGTTGTTCCTCGTCTCTGCGTGCGTTATATATATATGTACTGCAAAGTCGCGTTATCTTGTTTGGGATCTATCGCGGGGCATTGATACAGCCATCATAGTTCTTAAACTCGGATATATAACTTAAAATCGACTAATCAAAAAATTTGCATGGTTTGTTGAAACTTTATTCCGCATAATATTTTCACTCCTCGATATAATGGGCGCGTTTACTCGAAATCAAGAGGGAATCTCGCTGCTGCAACCTTGCCACTGGCGCCCCTTTTCGTGTGTTTATACGCGCGTGTATCATGCACAAGTGCCTGCGGAAGCTCGTGCGAGAGGCGCCAGTGGCGACTGCCTCTCTACTGCATACACATGCGGTATCCCGTGTGTGCACAAGAATTTATATACAGATGCATACGAGTGCTCGATGCGAACATTAGCCAGAGTTGATACTTTCGCCTTATTATCGGCTTGCGCGTTAATGATTAAATTTTTGACCCAACGCGTGGCATCTTCTACTTGTTTTCTGGATACAACATTTTCAATGCAGTACTATGGTTAAGAAAGACGATTAAGAAAAATTTCGACCATCTTTCAAGCACTTTAAATAAGATACTATTTTAAGCTTCTGCCGCTAGATGGCGAGTACCTTCATATCTGAAAATCCGCAAGTGGCAAAGTTAAAAGAAATGTATAAGTCATAGCACAAAAAAGTTTGAGTTGATGTAGTTACGTAGTGGATTCTTGCCGTCCTATTATAAAAGAGCAACAAAATTAGTATATTTGTACTTTAGCCTCGAGACAATTAAACATTCCGTCAGCCAATCAAATCTTCTTCTTCTTCTTCTTCTTTCCTTGGTGGCGCCGACTATAGAGCAAGCTCTATGTCACCCGACCATGCCAATCAAATCGAATTCTGTCCAAGTCGATAGAGTATTGTCGTCAATTGGGAGAGTAAAACAATCGACAAGCAATCAATTTTTACCTCGCATATTACGCCCAGAGTGGAATCAACCACACGCGTAAGCAAACAAACATCGAGTTTAAA